TTAAGACAAGGAATCCTTCTTGGACAGCCTGATCGGGGGCAGGGGTGCTTGTTCCGCTCCCTAAATTGAGTAAAAGTGCTCAGTCTTGCCTATCATAAGCCTACTACGATTTGTTGGTGTAAAGCTGCCTTACGACACACAAATATCGTTCTCCTTGCAGCGGTTAACCAGTGTTTTCCCTCACTGAGGGTAAATATGGCTTCTCTCCAAGCCTTACTATTTTCCTACCTCTTTTTCTCACCCTTCGTCAAGTCTGTTTATGCAACCCCAGCAGATGGCCAAAGGGTCGATTCACTCTATACTGTCTCAAAGCCCAGAAGTTGGATTTAGAACAGCAACTCGATAGATTAATTGTGCTAGAAATTCTTTTTTTGTTAACTCTATTCTACGTAAGCTCAATAACGTTGCATAATTTACTATAACATGATGCTGTAAGGCGCAGTTAATTCCGTTTTTGAAGTTCGCTTCTTAAAGTTGCCCGGCTGACACCGAAGTCGCGCAATAGCTTCAACACATAGTTCTGTTCCAAAGCAACGCAATGCGATCCACTAGGCGACAGCGTTCTTGATATCTACAAATCGTATGGCTTGCTACCATTAACGCTGTTGTATAGCAATCTGTCATCGTGACATAATTTACAATCCAGGTGACGTCGTCAATGTTATCTACTCAGCACCGCCATCTAATCAGAAACACGTATATATCAATACTAACATATCCGACAAGTTATACTTTGTCTACCATTTATACATATTTGTCTATTATTAGCATAATTATTTCCGCATAACTCATTAGTATCCAGGCCAAAACGATAGACACATTAGGAAAAACAAACGAAGATTCTGTAATCACTGAGCAAAAAATGCTTCTTTTACTCGAAATGTTCTCGGTAGTAACTTACTAAGTAGTTTCGTAAGGCCAGTCATCATACATAGACAAGCAAAATTCGAAGCAGGATATATTGTGGCTCTATATTAGCGGTATACAGGGATACGTAGGGATATGCATTATTACTGCTTTTTATTTTGACACAGAAAATCTCCGACATAGTTTGCATGATAGATTCTGGCTAGGATTATAGCGTCCATCCAGTAATGGAAAACAAAGCTTGACAGTAGCTCGTAAGACAAGTTATAGCTCATGGATGGCTCTTTTAATTAGTAAAAAAAAAAAAAAAAAAAAAACCTATTTTCATTATATATGCGAGCATACTAAAATATTGGATCCGACATAAAGCGAATAATTACATTTTACAAGAGATGCATTGTACGGTTTATCCGGTACGTTTAAAAGGGCTAATCTAAGCTTCGAGAAGAGGTTCACTGGTACACAGTGACGTTCGAGGTACAGGGGTGCGACAGCGTGTTTCAGCGTTCCTCAGAATATTCGCCGTTTGCCCAAAAACCATAAATCTATATGATATGGCAGATGTGACAAAAATGTTTTCAATTTTAGGTGTTCATTCATAGCGAAAAATGCTCGAGTGAGTCCGACATTCTAAGAGAAAGGAAATGCAACTACTCTGAGCGGGGTTTGACACGCTTGGAAGACGATTTCCGCAAGGGAACTATAAGATTTTTATCCGGTTTAGGTTCGTGTAGGATGAGGACGGTATTCATAACCGAACTCTACATAAATAATTCATGGCGTTCACGAAAAACAGATGCTTTTAAACTCCTATCTTCCATCCAAAGCATCGCCACGCATCTATAGTGTGTCTGCACTAACCGTATTAGCTTCTGGGATTGTTGCGTCCATGAACGCGTAATTGCCCTACTCGGGCATTCTAACAGGTGTTGTCGGGAACAATCGGGATATTTTCTAGGCAGGTCGCAGGTTTCCAATATATTGAATGAATGCTAGGGACCTATATACTTACTTCTTGCGTCGTAATCGCCGCTTTCGACGTAATCTAGCTTGTTTATGATGTTAACTCTAGACATTTGCTGCCAGCATTGGCAACGTTATTAATTTTTATTTTCTATTTATTTAGCCCTTTTTAGGCAAAGCTTGAAGTACCTTTGGGACTCAAGCTCAATTCAGGTAGGAAATATGGCAAAACTCTGTCTTTAGTCTGCTAAGGCCTTTCAAAAGCTAATAGCCTCGTCGCAAGAAAATTTCAAACGATTGCACCGCGGCTAAAAAAAAAAAGTGTTAAAAAGTAGCCTTTACGAACAATTCCACTTACTACACATTACTGGCAACATAAGCTTACTCTGTCGCTCATGTATAAAGAGCAATATTTAAATAAAAAAAAATTAAGAATTGGCTGAGAGTAATTTCTGTATTTCGAGTCCAGTGTCGCAGTAAGGCATTCCATCAGAAGAATGGCTCCCATCGGCGCCCGAATTGTGCTGTGTATGACCATATTCGAACCTATACCAAAGTATCGACTAGGGCATCTCGGGAACGGGGCAGGAGTTACCTAGAAGGGAATAGAAAAGACACTTTATGAGTCTGTCCAACTGGAGTTGAATCTAACTAGCTACACCATTTAAATGTTATTTTATATTAAACGCATAATTAACCTACACATTTGTTGTTCAACCTGTCGTTGAAGTTCAGATCTGCTATCAAAACTAGGTAGTGTAGTATTCACTGTGAAGTGTTTTGGCAAGTTAAGGTGGCTTCAGTCATTGATGATTCGACTGAAACGCTATTCTTGCCGTGGGAAAGTCGTCTCTGTCTGAAAATTTCACTGCGTTGACGGTTTTCGTTTCAAAGTGCGGCGGATGAGTCGTGACACCGTGTTAAATCGGAATAGATCAGCAATGATGGCTCAAAAAACTTATCTCTTTACAGAAGAAAGTAACAGAATCGGTGTATTAAGTTAGTAAATGTGGAATAGATTAGCTCCTGTAGTGCCATTGGCGACTTATTCTGGAATGGTAAACAGAAATGTATCACAACTTACCTTTTTAATTACCCTAGTAATAGGTACCTAAGAGGATTTTGGATAATTTAGCAACTTTTAAAAAGTAATACCAGCACGATTAGCTAGGTTTTTTTTAAGGCAATTATCTAATCTCCACTATTTGGGTCTATATGCTTTTTTTAGGTTAATTTTGACAGGTATACGCCTTCTGTCAAACTAAATGTCGCTCTACTCCGGTCCGATCGAGTACCCAAAAAAATCACTATGAAGTTGATTTAAGAAAGTTCGGCATACGTCGGAAGTCGCTGGTTGGCCAACCTCATTACGACAATAAATTGGCAACGTCTAGCTCTACGTATGCTTCAGTACCCAATTTTCTTAAAAATTTGCAAACATTGTACTTGACAGTTCGGTTCGTCACTTGTTTTAAATTACCTTATTAGAACAAAAATTGCTGTTTTGAAAAATCTTACCTTTGTCATCGCCCGTTTTGTAAGCAGGGAGCCGAACTGATGCATCTTCTATTTGATATACGGAATAATTAATAAGTAGGTCGTCTAGTATAATCTTGGAAGGCCACATATTTTGTAAGGCGAGGTAGTTGAGCATTAAAAAAAAAAATTGCCTGCTTACAGTTAAACGTTAGTATTTAGGGATCTTGAAATTTAGGAGCCACTGGTATGTCGGGAATTATTTGTACCTGCTTTCGCGGGTTTCTGAAAGTATATGACAAGGTTTTGATATAAAAGTGCTCGATATTCGGCTGAGGCAAGTGTCGGCCAACATCAATGAGTATGGATTTGTTTGGCAAAGATTCCTTATAGTAACTTAACGAGTTTTCTAGAATGAGATTTCTTTAATCTTTATGTGAAAAAAAGTTTCCTAATCTCATGAAGCGTACGAAAAGCGTCTACCTACGAACATGCTAATTACAGTTTACCATGATCATGTTGTACCAAATTAAGAGGAACATGGTGCTCAATCGTACCGCAAAATCATGTGTTAGTCATAGGCTGGAATATTCACGCTAGCCGTAGAAATGTCTAGGGACAAAACGGATGCTAATGTGGGTACTACTGTTAGGAGAACTTTTGGGATGCTGACCTTTAGTAAGTTGTCAATGGCTTGAAGATAATTTAAACAACAACAACAACAATTTTACCCGAAATACATTAAATGGTAATATGCCTTCTTGGATGAAGGCATTTCATATAAATGTGTGTATCTACTAAAACCATAAACTACTACGCTTATCCGCGGTCGACAGGTGTTAAATGCGCGTAGAGAAACATGCTAGAAACATGTTCCTATACATCAAAATAAAAAGAACAAGATTAGAAGCCCGCCGTAAGAAATGCACGCAAAGAAGCATCTTTAATAACACTAATGTTTCAGTAACTGATATGGCGTAACGGAACTGTGGTTATAACGATTTAAATTACTTATGAGTATTATGCCATTAAAATTAAGTCAAATTTCCATACAATGTCCTGTTTCTGCGTAGGAGAGCATACAGCTTCATTTGTTCCAGAAAAAAACGTATTCGTTAACAAAAAATTATTTTCAATGTTGTAAATGTGTGGCAAAATTTTCACTTCGTCAAGTAATAGGCCACGTCATATATGCAGACAAACACGAATTAGTACAGCGTTGGTTAATTAAGCATGTGACACGAGGACTTATAGCAGATTTGTATTCCGGATTTAGATCCGTCGGATCTGCCGTTGCGATTGTAACAGTCTGCTCAATCAAAATACTGATATGATTGCTTCGGTACGGACCACGGTAGGTGCTTTAAACCCCCTTTTAAAGCAAATGTCTCTTTAATCAAATAAATCGAGGAAACACATATAGCTGAAATTTGCAATTTATATATGAACCCATATGCTTTTTTTTTTTTATTAAATACACTTGCGGTTTGTATATTGAATATTAAAACAGTCAGCTAGTAGCTGCTGCCACCAGAGCATGCAGCCGGTAGCTTAGAATTGGCTGCGCTGAGCGAGTGATAGATCCCGACGTTATTATCGAAGATTAAGCCGCTAGAGCAGTTCTGCTGTACAGGAGTACCATTGAAACAGATGTGAAATTTGGTGCACTCCGACGTGTAGATAGTTACGTTTTGGCCGCAAGAGCAGTCGACAGGATTCGGATCGGGTCAGGGAGCCAGAGTAGACTTGTAGCGCGAGGTTATGCTAAAAAAATCACCGAAACACATTTTCAGCTACAGTTTGTTTAACATAATCATAACATAACATAAAGTGACATAATCGCCCTACGACGTTTCGAAAATCAGGTAATCCTACATAGGGCTAACGTTGCTCTCGGAGCACTGTGACTATCTTTAAAGAGTTACATAAACGTTGCGTTCTTTGTAGGAACGGTTCCGAATCAACTGGAAAGCATTGTTTGCCGGCGCGTATGGGTGCGCGTAAAATTGTTATACTTACGGGTCAGCGCAGGGATAATTGCTGGACTTTTTATTAACTTTGAAGACCGTTTACGACAGCCTTGGCGAGAGGGTTATGACCTCCGCCACAGACATTTGCGTGATCGTCGAGCCCGATAGCCCAGACCATCGCTCCACCGTAGCCTTCTTTCTGTATGAGCTTGGTCTTGTAACCAATACTTTCAGCGTCCTCGTAACCGACCCATTGGTTTTGTTTATATGCATAAGGTGTCTTGGAAGCATTGTCCCATACACGGGTCCATCCCTCCTTAAGGTTTTTGCAGATCTCGTAATAGAAGAGCGTGCCAGACTGTTGGGACACGGGGCCGGGATTGCCAGGTCCAGCGCTATGGTCTCCAGGCTTGTTTTGAGCCCAGTTGTTAAGAGTAAATGACTTACCATAGAAAGCGAAACCCATAATTAGCTTACTTTTGGGACACCCAGCGTCGGCCCAATTCTTCATGCCCTGGGAAACAGTCAACTCGGTGAATCTGCCTTGATCATAGGGGCCCGAATAGAGAGCTACATGGTTACCAAGTTTGCCATCCCAGTTAGCACGGAGATCGTAGGTCATTACGTGTATGTAATCGCAGTACTTAGCCACATTAGGAACATCGTAAGCAAGCCCTATTTTCTCCTTCGTGCTGAAGACGGCTATGGTGAGCAGTTTCTTGGACCCAATAGCATCACGCAACTCCTTCAGAAGCTTGATAAGGTTTTCTTTGTCGGCACGGTCGCCTCCCCTAGCCAAGTCAGCCGGATGCTCCCAGTCGAGGTCGAATCCATCGAAACCATAGGTGTATATCCAGCTGGCGACAGATTCCACGAAAATCTTTCTGCGTTCAGGGCTTGCGGCCATCTGAGAATATTTTTGTACGCCTTCGTTCCATCCACCAACAGCAAATGAAACTTTTAGTTTGGGATTCTTCTGTTTAAGTGCTGTGAGCTGCCTCAAACCATTTTGACCAATATCCCAGTCCGGTTCTAAGGACTTTACCTTCCCGGTACTCCAGTCCATACCCGCAAACGAGTAAATGACATGGGTGCACAGATTCGTGGGTATGTTAGATACAGAACCTGTGTATGGAGCAGGGCGATACCTAGAAAGTATTCAGACACGTTCGTTATTTCATTTGACACCATTGTAATTGGTTTATTTAACAAAAGCTGCTTAAAAATACTGTGGAAGCACAGACATGCTCTTCTGAAAGGTCTTGAGGTGCAATATTCCTGAACTTTACCGGAACTGAATCGGATCATTAATACGAGAGACTTACTCCTGTACTAATGATGCGGTTTTTGTATTGTACTGTACTATACAATACATGTACCGATAGTTCACAAACGTTTTAAAGGTTATATTTCAGAAAAACAGCAACGGGAGCAGGTAAAGGCTTACCTAGACCATGACTCCCAATAGCAGATGAAGGGCTTAGCTTTGTCAGCCAGCGCTGGGCTAATGCAGGCTGCAACAGCGGCCACGAGAGTCAGAAGAACCTTCATTGTTGGTGCTGCTTCCAATAACGATCGACTTCCCTGGACAGCCGCTTATATAGTTCCAACAGACAGCTTTCACAAACGGAAGGACTTTACTTAGGGATTATACAATTGTGTATTATGATTGATATAATATTTACCTTTAACGTAGTAGGCTGAGTGAACAATATGTAATGTCGAGGAACTTTGCGATACACAGATTTTACAATGGAGTTAACGAACATGCTTCTAACTTTTGCACCACGACCGATCAAAGCGCCTTGATGACAGAAACTTTTTATTTGCTCTTTAATTCATCAATACCCAAATAGTAAAACAGTTACAGTGTTTCAAGTTGCGAATATGTCACACATATATATATATATATTATAGTAGTAGTAGTAGTAATACTATGATTTAAAAACAAGTAAGGCGTTTTTCTTGTACTACGTATGGATTCAATTGAAATACTTAATGGTTTATACAGTAAATGTGTTTCCGTGCGCACGTACCACAAGCAATCGCATGTAAGAAACTAGAAGATCTTAAGAATAGCTATAAACAGTTACTTTACTGATATACTAATTTTTAAAAGAGCAAAAAACTCTGCCGAATACAATTAATTGATTTCCATTAGTCTTCTAACTAGGCTGTCTAAACGTTCCCTGCAACATTTTTATTAAACGTAAACGAAAATGATTATGAGATTCCTATTAATGTAGTGTTTAACGTGAGCCGAGTCACTGAGAAGAAACATAGTTACGAACTAAGTGCACCATATGTTACGCAGTAGAGGTAGTTTTAGTTAAAAAAAAAACAAAATATGGTACTACGCACTTGTTCTCTTTTAGACCGATGACTATCGACAACAAACATCGGCGTTGGAAAAGCCAGAATCCCATACGAGCACCAGCTGTTTTTTCCAGACTAGAAGTATACGTAGTCGAAAGCAACATGCACATCATTGTTCCAGGCACAAACCACACTTAACAAATAAAATATAAATCGATTGTAAACCCTCTTGGCAACGCTCATATTTTCTAATAATTTTCATACCGTCATATTGTATATTCAAGGTCGTAAAAGCTGCGCGCTCTCACTGACCTATTGTGTGACCGTTTGTCTTGTTTAGATTTTATAAATTTTGGTTGAAATATATAGATACGAAATGTTCATTCTTTTTTCGACAATATCTTTCTACTATTACCTGTTATGGCGTAAAAATACGTCCTAAACTTTTCCAAGATACTACCAAAGATAATTCTCTTTACCTTAATTACATATTGTTTTTAGTAAAAAATGCAAAACTATAGATATATGCATATTACTCTATGTGTTGAACTGGGACATTTTATTTTGGCTTTTAACACATACCTGGGGAGCTACTGCGCACAACTTTCAGTCATTTTGGTCCTTGTATTAGCAGCTGATCTGCATTTTACCTACTGCATGACGTAGTTAAATTTCCAGAGTGATCAGACTATGTCTGCGCGCTGGCTGGAACAAAGGTGAGCTCACACAGAGCCGTGAGCACATTTGTAACGAAATTGGCTATACTCGACATTGATCATTTCGGGACTGATCAACAACAATTAAGCGAAACAAATAACGTTGGGCGTGGTCTCTTCATTCTGACAGGACGTTTTCCCAAAATCAACAGTTTTCCAATATTAGGTAAACCTTTTCTATTCATTAGGCCAAAAAGTTATAGGCACATACAGATCGTCTAAAACGAAAACCTAGTCTAGCTAATTTACAATGTAGACAGCAAATGCTGTGCTTGAGAAGCAAGGTGGCAGAAGAACTGCTAGCTCCTGCGTGATTTAATGGAGGAAAAATTGAATATAGGCAATGGCTAGAACGAAAATGACTGATCAGTCCAGTCGATAGTTACTGTCGCTGCAAACTATTGTATTCTATCTCTTATACATGCTTGAATGCTTTTCTCCAAATAAAATACGCGATATAGTCGGTCAGGTAACGGGATTTGATGTATCAAGTCCGCCAGAAACATAGTCTTATATCACCAAGATAAAGTAAATATGCTCTGAAATAAGTTGAAACGTTTAGTCAAGCCTATAGTTATCCTCGAAGCCGATGAATAGGTATTAGCCAGAGGTACGGGTCCTCTACACAGTTCAGATTAATAAAACTGTACAGGAAAATTAAGTATCTTTTAGGGCTATCAAGTGTGACTAACTAAGCATAAAATGCAGTTATGTATAGCGCAAGATTTTTAAAATAGTTTAATATAAAAAGATAAATTTTAATCCTGTTTTTTAAGTCTATATGAGAAGCTACCTTCTTGTTAGTGGAACGAGCATGTCCTGCAGACCCATGTATTAATCAAAAATGCCCGTTGTCTGGGGTAGCACATCAGCCGTCGTATATTCAAAACACACGAGTTATTATACTATGTGAAGTTGTTCGAGCTTGATGATCTCAAACATCTGCGTTGCTTGTAACAGCATCAAGGTTTTCAGCAACGTCCATTGCGTTGCGCAAGTCTCGTTTGCTAGTCCCCAATTCGATCGCCGGCTCCCACAACACACGTAAATAGGCCGCATCGATAGAATTCCAAAGGCCCAATCATTATTAACCTATACAAATATGTTCAGCGTACTCTAAAATCCTTCTTGCTCTAAATGGCCATTATCATTTTAAGATCATCGACATAAATGCAAGGTTTGATTCTGTAGTATATATTTTACAGAATCTTAAAAAGAAAAAGAAAATGTAGTGTTTTCTGTTCTAATTTTTCGAGGGCATCCAGTGCATTCACAGCCTCTAGGGACCTTAGCGCATGGCAGAGCTGCATTCTCTGGGCTACAAGAGACAGGCTCTCCGTATTGGGTCTAGAAGAAGCAGGTCTGTAGAATCTTGCAAAATCTCCAAGTTCCAGCCAACTCGTATGGGGTAGAGTCCGTTGTTCTTAGTGTGCCTTCTTCAGACGATTCTGCAACGCACGTCAATTGTTCCGATTGCTCAAAACGACAGATTTCGGTTAGCTCATCCTTCACAGACAGACTGGGGAAGTCACCATTAATCTTTTTTCCGGTAAAACTGTAAACTATATACTGTGTTCTATACCAGAAAGTAAGCCCGAGCCTTCTTGTACACCAAGTTGTTAAAAAAAAGACATGCCATCTCGGCAGGATGCTCTACCCCATCAAGTAGTATGTATAATGTAATCGCACTATGAAAGTATTACTTCAGTAGGCGGGTAATGTACAGACGTATGACTTCGAGTGCCCTGCAAATCATGCGACGTAAACTCCACTCGATTTTTTATGAGGGAAATTCAAGAGCAAGATGCATAACAGCAAACTATGGACGACGTAGCTTATGATCCAGATAACTAATAATCCAGTACTTTATTTTTAATCTAGTGAGACTCAAGCGGTGTGATCAAACATTAAGGCTATTCGGGTTAGATCTTTTATAGATAATTAAAATATAATGAAATAATATTCATCTGTGTATGCAGTTATGGGACACAACACCTCCCTATGTCTGCGTAGTTCCAGCGGCCTCCGCACCTTTTGTGATCACCCTAACGTGGAAACTGAAGGTTGAGGCCTGTCAGGTATAAGCGGTTGAGAAATATAATAATATCAAGGGATTCGGCAAATGAGTCAAGGAAATTCGACCTTTTTTAATGGATGTATAACTAAGAAGATCTAGTAAAAATGGATTAGGTACCTCTATTAACGGCTTTTTTTTTTAAATCTGATTTGTGGTTCGATTCTATGTGTTTCATCTAAAACGAACTTTGTACAGAGGCACGCGACTTTGCGAGTTAATATGTCTGAAATTCAAGTCATAGGTAAAGTTTCATAAATCCTTTAGAGACATGAAATTTTCGAATTTATGGAGACGAGTTCTAATGTTATCGTCAAATAGACAGACAGGTTATCACGAAACTGTTTTTCATTAAAAAAAAATCGCGGACTCCGAGATTTGGCTTCAAAAAGAATTACTATTTTCATGAAGTGACGATAGTTACGTTTGGATACAACGCTCCATAATTGTTTCTGGAGCTCCATAATTCCGTCGAGAATTAACGTGCGCGGTATTCACCTATAATGTAATAACTTTACGAAAGTTCTGTCCAGCACTCCTCTTTGTTGAGCTAAAGCATTTAGACGTATCCACAAAGCGTTCAGCATGTTCATTAAACTGTAAACACCGTTTCCTGTGATATGTAGTGGCTGCCGTTGACTATAACGAGTAGTTCGCTGAGCTTTGATCATAGCTGTACTCCTTTTAAAGATCCCTGGGCATTTCAAGCGACGTATGCCCTAAGTGAAGGTTGTGAATGTAGTTCAGTTTCCGTTAGGGTTCTTAAAAGCGTCTACGCATTTGCAATAACTTTTAGTAAAAAAGATATATCTATGCCTATCCAGTATACATATCTGTGTGGCGACGTGCAGCATTAGAATGACGGAACCACGATTCAAGTAGCAGTGATGAAACAACTTCCATGAATCGTCAATCTTTACGTTTGTAAATTGCGGGTTAGGAATTTTCCTTTGCTGTTCTCTAAGTACATAATTAATTGCATCGAGTATAAGCTTGAGTTTTTCATTTCTAAAAGATGTCACTCTAATTTCGCGACTTTCCAGAATCTTGGGTTTCGAAAGAATAATGTCGGTTAGCTATAGGAATGACTACATATCCTCCTTCCCTGTTACGTGTATATGTGTCGGGGGGTGTCCCTTGCGCAAACTCGGTGATTCGGCGATACTTAATGTTTAACTCGTAGTTCAACAGCATAATCGTCTATCGTTGTGAGCACGAAAATTGCAGCTTTTCTTCAAAATGCAGGGAGCAAGCGGCAACGGTCAGTAAGTAATATTAACGGGTACCTATAACGATGACAAACAGTTGCTTGTTTTTACGTTTGTTTCCGTTAAGATATTGTTGCAATATGACTGCACGAAACCGCACACGCTTGCCCCTCTAGCAACCATTAATAATGGAAGTTTTAGATCGTCGTATATAAGTGGGAGAAAAGTTTTTTTTCAATTCTC